TTATTAATTCAATTAGTAATTAAATTAATTAAATTAAAATTTAATTAATAATTAAATTTAGTAATGCTAATAAAATCCTGGCATCAAGCTGGCAGTGAAAATTTAGGGACAAAACAAAGCAGAGAAAGAATCTGGGGCTGATTTTCATTTCCAGGGAAAATTGAAGGATAAAACAAGAAGAACTAAGAACTTAAAGCTGATTTTCCTTTCTAGGGAAAATTTAGGGACAAAACAACCCAAAATAAGAACTTAGGAGAGATTTTTCTTTCCAGAGAAAACTTAGGGGTAAAACAACAAATACAAAAAATTTGTGCTTGATTTTTTTCTTCATTTATGCCCCAGATCAGCTTTTTTTTGGGGTACAAACCATATTTGTGGCCAATTTCCACAGCACCTTCTTGAATGAAAACTCTCCAACACCCAGAAAAAAGCAAGAAAAAATTTATATACTCATTTCCCCCTCCATCTTTTTGATTTGTTTGGGGTTTTTTTTGCAAACTTTCACATCTAAATTCCTATTAAATAAGCAGTGAAGCTCCTGATTATCCCATCTGGTTATTTTCCAGCTCATTTTACCCAGCAGCTGGCAGGAAAAATGGTTGGAATTTTTCCTTAAGGTTTTTCCTGTGGGATTCCCAGCTGAGCAATGCCTCTGGAGCAGCAAGATAAAATGATCAACCAATTATAAAATTATAAAATAATAAAATAATAAAATAATAACCTGTTTGTAGCCATGAAATAGGAAGTTTGTGCCAAGTCCTTGCTGGCTGCAAGAAAAAAAAAAATAAAAATAAGAACAATCAGGGTGTTATTTGAATATTTTTTATGGTTTTTTTAGTGTAAGAACCAAGGGCAGATTGAGCAGGATTTGGGGAATTGCTGCTCACTGAGAGCTTGGTGTGGTTCAGAAGAGCCTAAAAACCAAATAAAAATGCCTGAATCATCTAAAAATGCCTTTATTTTGAGAATCAGAGGGATGGAGCAGCTCTCCTGGGAGGAAAAGCTGGGAAAATTGGGAATTTTCAGCCTGGAAAATTGGGAATTTTCAGGTTCCAATAGAGCTGAAGTGGGATTCTGGAGTGGCAGGAATGGGTTTTCACTGGGAAAATGGAGAATAAAATGGGAATTTGGGAAGAAATCCCTCCCTGTGAGGGATCCCTTTGAGAATCAGAGGGATGGATCAGCTCTCTTGAGAAGAAAATCTGGGAAAATTGGGAATTTTCAGCGGAAATTTCCCCACATTTCCCTCCCAATTCCCTCTCACCTCGGACAAGCTGGGTGCACTTCACCACATGGGTGTGGGGATGGTCAATGGTGATCTCAAAGCCTGCAAGGACACAAAGATCCATCAGAACCTGGATTTGTGGGTTATTTTTTTTTTCCTGCATCCCTTCCCTCCCACAGCCCTGCAGGAATACAGGAATCCATTTTTTCCTCTATCCAGAAGCTTTAAATTTATCCAGCTACAAACTCAAAGTTTCTGCTGCTGCCAGACCTCCCAGGAAACAAAACAATTATTAAAGAATTTTAAAAATAGCAAGACAAAAAGCCTCTGGAAGCAGCTGGGAGGAAGGCAAAGACAATGGCATCTGCTCCAAGGGATTTCTCTCACCCAAAAAGCTGAGAGGAAGCAGATTTATTTTCCTTTTGAATGGGCCTAAAGCATTGAGGACAACTGAGTTTAATCCTGGCTCCTGCTTCCTCCTCACTTTGGGAATTCTGTTTGAAAAAGGGGAAAAAAAAATAAAAATAATTCCAACTGGTGCACAGCAGATCTGCAGAATGTTCTGGGAGAATTTGGGGGTTTTTAAAAGGTCCCTGGAGAATTGAGTTGGGTTTAGCCACAGGTTGGACACTGAGTCTGCTCTGAGTCCAGTCAGGAATAACAAATTCTGCTCTTTTGGAGGGAAAAATCTACCTAAAAACTGCCTCTGAAACAGAATATTTGTTAGTGAACACCACTCTGAACAGTACATTTGATAAAGAAACAGGGCAGCAGCTCCAGCAGTCACAATCCCACACCCAGAAACAACTCCTGGGATTTTCCCCCCATGTAATTCTTTGATGAAAATATTCAGTTTTAACCCATTTTTTAAGATATTTCTCAGTACAAACTGCTTCCTGCAACAGAACTGGAGTATTATGGCCTGGAATTGGATGTTTAAACTTTAAAATCCCCTCAAACCCAAACCATTCCATCATTCTATAATTAAACTGGAAAGCACAACCCAGGACAAAAAAAACAGTGTCCAAACAGCACAAATCCTGATTTTTTTAGGGAAAAAAAACCCAAAAAAGTGACAAACCACACTTAAATCTCTCAGCAACGAGCCTGGCACGGGTTCCAGTAAAAAATTAATGTTAAAAAGAGGTTTTGTGGTGGAATTCTCCTGGCTCTGGGGTTGCTCAGAGGAACTTACCCAGGGTCTGTAGGATGATGCTCTCTAGAATGACCAGGTCCTGGGCTTGCTGCAGGTAAGCCTGGGGTT